CCATTAGAGGCATGGTTTCGCACGCTGCCTGCATCCCACTGATGGGGTTTTGCTTGTATGCATGGCCCAGTTTCTAGCATGCTGCTGGCCAGTGCCGGTTCATGGACTGGGGGTTGGGGGACGTCTGGTGTAAGGCATCTTGTTTTAGGCCTGTGATTGATTATGCTGGTGTTTCCTCATAATGCTACAAATTCGTGTGATGAGAAACTAGAGAAGCAATGAATATAATTATCTTATTTCAGATTAGATTTATAATATTCAAATTTAGAACTTATCAGAACTCTAATTTAAATAGAAAATATAATGAACACTTGAAGTACAGGGTGCCATCTGTTTTATAGAAAAAGAAAAATTACTGCAGACTGTCCTAGTTTGGCTTGAACAAAAAAACTTGGATAGAGATGTTTCATCAGTTTAAGTAAGTATAGTGTAGGAAGATGTTCTGTGACAGCTATTTTTCTAGTTCATATCAATCTGATACTTTATGGAGAAAGGGGTTTTTTTATATTCTGTTGACAAAATCAACTAGTTTTCCTTGGGGCAATGTGTAGAAGATTAAATTCATATAACTAAATTTAACTGCAGCTTTTTATGAACTGTGAGGATTTTAAATAGCACAGAGCTCTTATACTTGCAAGAGATGAAAAGTTGAATTCCAGAAAACCAGAGATCATTTAAGCTTAATTCTTGAAAATCCACCAAAATATTTTATTCCAGCTTCTCACTACATTTGAATACAAAGATTTCTTCTTCCTATCTTCTTCCTAACCAGAGTTGCTTTGGAAAGTAAAATGTGCAGCATATAAATTTAATAAATAAAGTTATCCCTGCAGTTACCTTTCTTTTGCATTTAGCACTGCTATTATTGAGAAGACTAGTTTAGAATTAATGTCAGAATGTGAAAAGCATTCAATTTTGCAGATGATTTTGATAGTAAAGATTCAAATGCCTGCATTGTTGTTGTGGGTACTATTTTCTGATTCCCTTTTTTCAAAAGTCTCCAGAACTTTCATTGTTATGTTTTGCAATACTTTAAAAGCTTGTAAATTTTTCCTCTATCTAAAATCTTTGGCCCCCTCTAGTGTCCAGTTTTTCAAATCTTGAAATTGCTTATCTTTTTTGTTAAAAAAAACCCCCACAAAAAAAATTATTTCCCATGAGAAGTTGTTTATAACTATTTCCAAAATCGTATTCCAGAAGTTTCAGTATTTCAAATTTATCTGGCTGCTTAGTAGTCCATTTATAATTTTGTAACATCAAATTTTTATTTAGCTTTTTGCCGTTTTGTTCAGATCCTTTACATTCTTAGCCTTATAATTATGAATTCTTATTTCTCAGTGACTTTAAAATATGTATCCTGGGATATGGTTTGACTAAAAGAAGAAAGTGGAAGTATTGCTTCTTATAATTGAAACACTAATATTAATATAGCCTAATGTAGCATTAATCTCTTTAGCAACTGCCCTGTACTGGCAATTCAGATTTCAGATATAATACATTGAAATACTTACGTTCTCTTGTCCAGTTAACATTCCCAATAGAGGCCATATGTTATAATGATGCCCATTTTTTAAGGATGACAATACAAGTCTACATTCATCCTTACTGAATACTTGAAGAGATATTTTTCTTAAAGCACTCCTTTCTTTCTCTTAATCCTCTTTATTTCCTAAGTGCCTGGCTTCTAAAAGAAGAACACCTGAATAATTGTATTTCTATTGTGAAGCAATATTATATTAAAAACTTCTTTGTTATTGCCTTTATAATTTATTTTCATGTTAGAAATATATGTAGGAGACTGAAAAGTGTCCAGGTAATCTGCTTCACCCAAGGTCTTCCAAAGCTGTTGTGCAACCACCTCCACAATAACCTCCTTCAAAAAGGGGAGGTTTGATACTGGATGAAAATTGGTCAATACTTTGGGATCCATCGGCAACTTCTTTAGGAGGAAGCAAACTAAGGCCTCCTTAAGAGGTAAAGGAAGAACTCTCACTAAAAAAAGAATTCTCCACCATTGGAGCCCCTCCGCATGATATCCCTTATTTCTTTGATGAGATGGCTGAGAATGCAAATTTAAATTGCACTGGCCACTCCCATGCCCGATTTAGGGAAGGGGGGGGAAGTCCTGATACATCATGTGACGCTGCTCTGATGATGTGTTTTACACCTCTGGCCTAGGAGATTGATTTTTCTAAGATTTTAAGGGTATTTGTATAAGTTCCTTCTTCAGTTTAAAAGTGAAAACAGTCCAGTAAGACAAATGTAGCCAGTACCAACAAGTCTTTAGAATTAAATTTCTGGTACGTTGCTCCTGGTATTTAGATGCATGACACATTTTCCCCCTGAATATATTTTATCTTTATTTAAAACAATCTTAACATCTG